TTTTTTTTGTTTTATTTTGTAGAAATAGAGGTTCCTGACAAAGTCAAAAAGCCTTGATACAATAAACAAATGTATGTGATTTTTTTATGCATTTGAAATTTAAAATGGGTCGGTGCCGACCCTAACACGAGAGGAAGTGATTTCACCACCCTGAACTGATTCCCAAAAAGTTTGAACATTAACTAAATCACAGGTTTGCTAAGGAAAAAGTAAAGTCTAAAATAAGGTCAAATTGACAGTGATTTTTTTTGTCAACTCATGGATGACCATGTAAGGTCTAATCTGATCATTTAAACGATTTTCATACCAAAATAGATTTCAAATCAATTACACTAAGCCAGTGATGTTTAAAATAAGTCTCTGTGTCAAGTCATGTGACTCAGGTAGCAGAGCGTTGAGGGGCCTTTTAAAGGAATTAAACACAAAAGCTTGGGGTTATTGAAAAGTAGAAACAATGGTGTTGATGATGTAACAGTACTTTACTATTCAATGTGTTTTTTGTCAGCTAGTTTCTAGCTTTCTCCCAGTTTTTTTCAATTTTGTGTAATTCTGACGTGTCAAGACGTATACCTTAAATAACACTGGTAAGGTGTTCCTCTTAACCAAATATAGCACAGCAATGAATGAGGGCACAGCTTCAGTACTTTATGGGATGATAAGGCAGGCAGCTGAGAAATAACTAAGAAAGGAAAGCACTGGGCTGGCTGTAGGAAAACACAGTGGCAGAGGCAGGGGGTTCTATCTGGCACTTCTGTCCTGTTTTGCCCGTCAGTTCAAAGGCTGCATCCTCTGGCAGTCCATATTTCAAAACCTAGTATATCAGACCAGGTTGACAGACCTGTCCTCTACTAAAGGCTTTAAAATGGGAGGAAATTGCTGTACCTTTTTGCAGCTCATTGTGCAATGGCCACTTGTTTAATGGTGCATTCAGAAGGTCCTTGTCAACATGAGGAAGTCAGGAAATAAGTTGCCAAGTAACATTTATCAGGTCTTTGCATCCAGGATTTTAATCATTTAGTAGTAAATACATCACCTGTACTGCAAAGTATCAAAGCAAATGTCACAAATAAATCACAGCTAATCCTCATCTATCTACCTCTCTCTCTCACACACACACACATGCGCACACACAGACACAGATGCTCATAATTTAAACTTTTGATTTTGCACCAATCTTCTGCATGTTGTCAGGCTGTTACAGTACAATTTGCAAATACTTTGCCTTTTTAATGACCGTTGCTTTCACTAACATATTAAATGTACTTCCATCAAAAGAACTCTATACCTGGGAGACGTTTATGCAGGGGGGGGGGGGGCTCAGTGTGAGGAAAAAAGAGAGAAAAAATACTTTCTCGTTATCCAATTCGATGTCCAGCTGGGCCACAAACCCACACTTTGCTCTTCTACTCAAAATAACAAAAGACAGCCTCTATGCCTCCAGGCACCATTGGATGTGCTTTTTTTTTTTTTTTACATGTCCCAGTCCCTTTATCCTCACAGTATCTAAAAACCTAAAACTGCACTATGGAAAGATAAAGGTCGGGGACATTGGGTTTCAAATTCTTTGATGCTGCTATTAGAGTAGTTCGTTCGAATACTTAATACTTAATAAATTTTCACATTTATTAAGTATGCTTAATAAATGTGAAAATTTAATGTTACACCAAACTGGGGAGAAAAAGAGATTTAAGCAAACTAAATTCCAGCCTGATCTTGTTCCAGCATCACATACATGCGCACAAGGTGTCCCATGGTCGATGTGCCATGACTCAGCAGCAACAGAGAAACAATTATTGGCGTCACCTTGGAACATAGTGCGGAGCTTTGCTTTTCAGTATGAAGGCTTAATGTTGCGATGTGGCATATTTTAATTGTAACTCTAATATTTTCATAAACTAAGTGCCTTTGGATTCCTTAACAGAACTCCAATTAAAAGCAAAAGCAAGTAAAAATAAAGCAAAGCAGATTTCACCAACTTCCCAAACAAGACACAAATCCTGGTCTCCTGGCTGATAAACTCTTGATTTGCATAACAGCAGTGCTTGATGCCGTGGGATAAAGACATACTAGCAGTTCTGAGTTTCTTTTTATTGTATTGTACACATAGTGAAGCACATGAAATGGTGACTCCTTTGAAATCCAGTGCTACTGATGGTTGTACCTTAATGGCATGTAATTGGTATCCCTACATTATTTCCAGTGGTTGTCATATTAAACAAATAAGGTGACAGGATGAGATGATTTGCTTTGACTCACCCAGGGCAAGAACAGCACAGTGTGAAGGGTGAACATAACATCACGAGTTGATATTCAGACAAAGTGATAGAGGCTGTACCCTAGCACCACCCCTGCGGGTCCTCTCAAGAGTCCCACTGACTTCTCTTGATAATAGTGTCAGCCGGTGATTGACATTTGCTAATTTCTCATTTTTGCTTTGCAAGTTTAAGGACAGTTTAAAGCTTGAGGCTCTAAGCAGGAGTCCATGTTAATGACAGTCCCTACTGGGACAAAACCAGTTCATTTAGACCCCGTCTAAATCATGCATCCTTGGCTCTGGTGAGTCTAATTGGGTAAGTAAATTTGACCGAAAATCATTGGAAAAAAGAATTTACTATGAGCATTAATGCTGAAACCCTCACGAGCTCTTTATGTCTACCATTTTTGCTACACAGGTAACAGTGAGTTGGTATATCATATTCTTTTATTACAGCTAAATGAAAAGAGAGCAACCATTTAAAATGAGCCATTGCCTCTGGTTATTTCACCAGTTTCAGTATTTGTAGCCATTTTCTCTAATTGTTGTAGTCAATTTAGGTACAGTACACCACTTAATAAGGATTAATATGTTTTTGTTGCAAAAACCTTTTTCTGGCTTTAAATAACTGTCATTAAAGTTGTACCAAACCTGGCTAAACTCAGCTTTTAGCAAAGAAATTGATTCGATTCATTAGGACAAACATTCAAAAGAACTTCTTTATGAAAGAAAACTTTCATAATATATACTAAAATATAACCTACATGTAATGGATATAGGAGACTATTATAAGCACTGATGTGGTTGTTTATTCTCAGTATTTTGAAGTCATGTTGAAGCCTTTTATTGAGCTTCCATTCATTTATACCATTGCACTCAACCTCTTTAAGTCGTTTGATTTCCCATTCTAGACTGTTTATACTGAGCAGAAGACATCAGTCGTAAATGTTGACAGCTGTATTGTATGAAGTTGGTAGTTCACCTAGTGAGTGTGCTCTTTCCATAAACTTCACTGCTCACTAAAAAGCCGCCTTCGCTCTGCCTTCCTGTTGAAAAACCAATTTAGTCCAAGAAAGCCAATGTAAAACTGAAACTTGGCATGCAACTATACAACAGAAAAACTAGTTACTTACAGAATAAAATGGCTTTGATATTGTCAGGCTAATGAATTGTGGTTCA